CCCGAGGCTCTGTCCAGCTCCCTGCTGGGTCCCTGTAGCCATGCATTCCAGACCTGGGCCCTAAGCCCCACACACCACTTGAGCTGGGCAGCATCCCCAGCCCCAGCCCTGCCCAACTCCTTAGCTCCCTCCCTATGGGGACCTCAATCCCCCTCCCCCCAGACTTACATGCAGAAGCTGCTCTCCAGGCTGCCTAAGGGCCATGTGAAGGCATGAACGTGCACATGCACATGATATCCCCTGGCTGATCTCCCTTCTCTCTCTCCCCCCAGCCCTTTGCAGGCTGGGACTCTGCCAACCTGCAGATAGCTCTTTGCAAAAGTGGCAAATTCACACATTTCTCCGTTAAAATTACAAATCTGCATTTATCTTGGTTGAAAGGCAAAATCCACCTTTTTTTCTGTTTTTCCATGGGAAATGGAAAACCCGGATCCCTGCTCATAACTTTTATTAACAAGCATATTGCCTTGGGATGAGATGAATTAAGGCGGAGGTTGGCTGCTTTAGACTATGCCCTTCCCAGAGGTGATGCTGCAATGGAAAGTCCATTCCTTGCAGCTCTTTGCCCTTTCTCCTAAGAAAACACATGAGTAGGCTTATTAGTAAAGAATCTTACAACAAACAAACAAACAAACAAACAAACAAACAAGCCCCAAACTCTCGCATAAATTATAATCCACTCAGGTACAGATGGGTTTAACAGTTATTTTTTACACTTCCTCTTATTAGGTAAAAAATGAATACTGATCACTGAGTCATATAATTGAATCAATACATGCTACAGCAAATCCATTGGTATAGAAGCAATTCAAAAGCAGAAGCAGCAAAATGCTCCTTTGCTTAGCCTAGATCTTTGAAATGTCTCTGTTTAGACAAAATCAAATTGTGCTTGCAATATGGAAGGGAAATACATATTTTTGTTTGATGGAAGGCAGAGATGTTTTAGTATAGTTCTGCATTAGCAATACATGGGTGAGGTAAATGACTTGACAAGCAAATCTGCACTTGAATTGTATAATATTTCATGTATGTATCTTGAGGAAGGAGAACACATTTTATTCCATGGTTGTTTAATGTCACGCAAATACTTGGCAATCAAATATTATTTCATATTTTCCTATATAATCAGTATGGTGCTGATAATACTTTATTTTATACATATATACATACACATACATACATATATACATATACACACACGCACACACAAATTTCTTCCTCAAAATCTTGATGAATATTGATAAATTTATTTTCACAGCGATAGAAACAGTATTCTGAAGATACTACCAAGAGAAAAAAGATTTACAAATTAATTTGTCTAGAATCAGAGGGTATTATTGGCAGGAGTTGTGTTAGGGGCTAGCAGTGTACATGTATATCTAGCATCATATTTCTGGATTCTAATGGGATAAAACAATTTTTAAAAATGTCTTTCCTACCAATATTGCCATACTGAATTTATGCTTACAAATATGCACACACTATATAAAAACATTTAAAAATATTATTATTACTACCTAGCTCCTGTATAGTACTTTTCATCAGTAAATATGAAGGCATTTTCCAGAAGGTGATATTATCCCTATTGTACAGATTCATAAAATGGAGGTCTAAGGTGGTGAAAGCATGTGCTTGAAGTTACCCAGCATGTATTCCAATTGCCTACTATAGGAAAAAATTGTAGCAAAAGGCATAAGATGCTTAAATAGCATGCCTGTCAAATTATCTGAGCATGTTATCCACCTACAATATCTGAATTCAACTAACTATGCTGAACTGTTATGTTTGAAGATTATGTTCAGCCACTTATTTAACACTGTCACATCTCCAGGATAAGAACAAGAAAGAGTAGTGAATCTTTAAATACAACCCTAGCAAAAAAAAAAAAGAAAAAAAAAGTGCACTCCGCAGTGTGGGCAGGAATACTACATCTAGTGTTGAAGGAATTCTGGACATATACCTTGGAAAATACCTGAGTATGCTCTTTAATATCAATCATACAAGTCTTTATTGTATTAAATGTAATCAACAACATGTATAACAGCTACAGTCATCTGAGTTAGTAATCAAAGATTTCAGCCCTTATGTAGGTGGATATATGTCCTGCTCCATTTAGATCTAATTGGATTTGCTTGCCCTTCACTGCTTATGCACTTTGCATATACCAAGTGCAAGAAGAATGTAAACACTACCAATCCAGAATGCTAGTTTTACAACCACTCCTTACAAGTACAAATGACTATACAGAAGACAAAGGAGCGAGAGAACCAAGTCACCAGTGAAGAGGGTCCACCAGTGGGGACTGACATACTTTTGAATAATGCTAAGCACCTAATACAAGGAGGGCACTGACTGAATGATGATGTGGTTATCTTCCACATCCATTTCCAAAGGCCAATCAATCACTTATATCTACAGAAAAGAACTGGCTTTGTGGAAGGGGGATCCTGTTTTGTTTAAATCTCCCGTTTTACAAAATGTGGATTCTGCTGTTCACCTCGCCTGTGAGGATCTGACTGCTCCTAAGCTTTCCAAATTCACCTTATTTAAATAATATATATATTGTTACCTACAGAGAAGTGGGTATGAATTTACCACCACATTTGGGGTATGAATTTACTGATTCTCTTACCTGGGCCAAACTTAATACTAGCAAACACTACCTAAGCTTTCTTCCCTCACAGAACTGCCACAGCAATCATATTCCACCCTGCAATATAATATGCCTGTTTCTCAAGTCAGGAGCCTTTCGTGAACTAACCACCAGACATGCTGCATTACAGTCTATTTAAGAGTGTTTATGTGAGATGTGTAGAGGAAACAAAGAAAAGACCATTACATTCATTTTATTTAAGTTTAACCAGTTTTTCTAGTTGTAGAAAGATAATCTAGAAGGTACTAATGGACTAACTCGCATCTTTATTTTCCTAGCCAAAAACCTGTAAAGTGCTGAGACATAAAAGTACATTTTTATTGAAAACCCATCAAGCCGTAAATTATACTCAGTTCTAATAAGCAGCTTTAATGATTCACGATTCACAGAGCCTTTGTCAACACAACAGTTACCTGACAAAATGTATTTAAAACAGCTAAGAAAATCTATCTCCCTTAATTTTAAACAGAATTGCTCAAGCCATTTATGAGTATTGATTAAATAAGCTGGAAATCAATTATATTAATCAAAGAGGAAACCAAAGTATCAAAAAATATATTTATTAGAATCAATGCTGCCCCAAAAAATCCCAGACCTAGAGCTTACCTCTTTGAACTTGTGAGCAAGCTTAGTGGTGTCCAACTCGCTTGGGGAAAACATGTCATCATTTTCAGGCAGATCAAACACTTCAATTGCCATGTCACCTCCTGGCAAGACAGGTCCCATGTCTTCATCTTCTTCATCAGTAGCATATTCCCCTGTCTTAATGTTATGGAATTAAAACACTTCAGTATCCTCTCATTAGGCCTGGGTTGTTTGCATGTTATTTAAAATCTAAGGGTGCTTATACATGTGCAGCGAGGCTACTCCAACGTGCTGTAATTACAGTGCATCAGAGCAGACTTGATTAAGTCTGCTGGAGCATGGTAATTACCATGCTCCAGCAGACTCCAGCATCACATGCATCAGCATCCCCATGCTGAAAAATGGTGACAGGGCCACTTTAACTATACCCCCACAGCCATTTTTGAGCATGGGGATACTGATACATGTGACATTCCAGGCACTCTAATTAAAGCCTCCCCCGCCCCCCCCCAGACACACACTCCTGGAACATGTGTATAAATGCCCTAAATCTGTAACACTTAAAAACTTTCTAAAACCAAGTTAGTACAGAAGCACAGAATTCTGCATGCAACGATGATTATTTCTTTTTTAGATCTAGCATAAGCAGTTGTGGGTTCCAAATGATACGGTAGAACCGTTGTAGTGGTTTAGCATCAGAGTATAGGAAAACAAAATCTAAGTGCTGCAGCACTTCCAGAGGAAGTCAGTTTTACTATAAAAAGCTTTTCTCAACCTTTTCCATACTGGGACCCCTCTCCCTTCTATCTCTTTTCCCATACACAAACCCCTCTGCAACTCAGTCAAGACTTAGCTGGGAATCTCCATTATCAGTATGGGAGGAACTGAGTTGGTGGTGTATAACTCATGTTGCCTTCATTATTGCTGAATTCATAAGACAAAAAAAAGATGTGTATGGAAAGACACATTTCTGAAGTAGTCGTCACTGGAATATAAAAATTGGTCCACTGAATTCACTGGCCAAACTGCCATTAGCTTCAGTGGAAACAAGATTTCACCCTGCATGAAAAAAAAATACTTGTACTGGTTTTGAACAGAAGCAGTGGGTGGTTCTTTGGATTGTGAAATGTTAGCTCTCTTACAGAACAGGGAGAATATTGAAAAGCACAGCATGGTTCAAGCTATTTTTTAAGTAAGAATAACCAGCATAAAAGCAATGAAAAGTGCTTATAATGACTGGAAAACACCAATGAATATGCACTAAGGAGAAAAACCATTAAATGAGGACATTGATAATTATGTCAGATAAAAGTTAATGTCTCTTATCCTGCACACTGTTATACTTGTTATAGAACTAATCAAGCCTACATTCCAGTATACGAGAAGGGGAATGGTGTGCTGGGCTCTCTGACATCTGGATTTCCTCAACTCTGAAGGGCTCTTCAAGTGCCACTTAAGATAGCTTCCCTTCCTTTGTATTATTGGACTGGCGTACAGGTCAGTCTCTGCCAGGTGAGCCCTCAGCATTATTATTCTGTCAGCAACTAACTCTGTGAATTTGGAAAAGTCACTTACCAAATTTACTCAGATACCATGCACACCTTTGCCCCAGCCCCCTCCCCACAATTTTAGTGTCTTAAGCAGAAAACTGATTTTCTGCCCAGAATAAAATCACTTGCTTTGATTCCTGCTCTACCAAGCAGCAGTTGTGGTATTACTATTCAAGCAGCTAAGGGAGTTGAATACTTAATGAATTGTTCTTCACTCCACAGATATTAATGACATCTTTCATTTTTTAATGGTCTTGATGTTCCACTAATCAAGCTAACATTTCTTAGAGCAATTTTGCTGGCTGCTCCTGGTCTCTCTCCTCCTATTTCACAGCCTTGAAGACTCTTAAGCTCTCTTAAAAATCAGAGATCTACCTGTGGACACCAGCCTTCAGCAGCAGCTAAGATTTCAGCTTTTAGTTAAGCAGGAAAAGGAGAGTGAGTCATTTGAAGATTAGGCACTGGGAAAGTCCCGTTTTTCTTCATTCTGCCTTTCCAAAAAAGTTGTATATTTTACTTTGGGGCATGTTAGATGCGAGAAAATATGGTATTCTCTCTCTTTACATCACCTTCCCTTTATGTAAAAATGAGAAAAATACACAGCACACTCACATTTTATTAAGCTTATTCAGTGTTTGCAAAGTACTTTCAGATCCTCAGAAGAAAGTGAACAGCGTTATCATCACAATGTTCAAAGTAAGCGCTAGAATAATTTTTGTTAAAAATTATTTTTAAATATTGGGAGAGATTTGCTAAGGCACAGATTACAGTTAGGAACATAATGTCTATTCCCTTTCAATGGAAATTAGCTGCCCACCTGTCATTTTTGACTGTGAATGTCTTTTATATTATCATCAAACAGCTCCAATAGCATACCGGGCACTTTACGTTAGAGTATTAACAAATAAAAGAAAAAAAAAGGAATGTTAAATTAATGTTACGGACTATATCTGCAAAAGGAGACCCATTTGTGTCTTTGCGTCAGTAATAATTTTATACATATTCTGCATAAGGAGAATTTTATACATATTATAACACATATTGTCCATTAGACATTCAGTATAGTCCATAGCAGGGGTGGGCAATTATTTGGGCTGGAGGACCACTCAGGGAGTTTTGGTGAGCTGTCATGGACCAGGTCAGCACATTCCACCCTCCCCCCACTACAGCTCATCAAAACTCCTTAAGTGGCTCTGCTCCGTACTCGGCCAGGCGGCTGGGATGGGGCTGCAGATGAGCGGAAAACAGCATCTGGGATCAGCACAGGTGGGCGAGGCCAGGATTGCAGGGCTGTGACAACATGGGGCCGGGGCCCAGGGCACAGCCACAATCCACTCCCCACATGGCCCTGAGATAGGCACTGGTTCTGTGGGCAGGGGCAGGTGGACAGTAGATCATGGCTCTGCCCCCGGCCCTAGACCCACACGGACAAGGCACACAGCTTGGCAGATGGAACAGGGCTACGGATGGGTGGGCAGGGAGCTGTGTCCAGGAGTGGGATGGGAGGGCAGAGCCAGGCCTAGGATCACAAGACAGTGACACTGCAGGGCTAGGGTCCAGAGCAAAGCTGCAATCCCTTCCCTGCATGTCCCAGTCCATGGAACCAGTGCCTGCCTCAGGAGCGTAGGGAGTGGACTGCAGGTCTGCCCCAGCACCTGGTAGCTGGATTTGCTGCTGGTGGCAGCTGGAAGAAGCTGCTGCCACCAGGGCTGCCTGGAAGCAAGTCTGGGAGCAGCGCCACCCCAGCCCCACTGTATGCCCTTGGGTAGCAGGACCAGCCACACGCACCATTGCCCAGGCTGCTCCCTATGCCTGGCTTGGGCTGGACCGAGGGATCTGCCACGGGCCAGACAAAATCCCTTGGTGGGCTGGATCCAGCCCATTGGCCATATTTTCCCCACCCCTCTTCTATATAAATGCAGATACTTACTATGTAGTTAGTGCTGAAATAGGATATTCAGAGCAGTTAAGCAGTTCTCCAAATTATGTTATTTGTTATATGTTCTTTTCCTGCTTTTAGTTTTGTATCCAATAATATTTTCCTTTGTGCAAATACTTATATACAGGGTACTTTTACTCACATGAGTAGCCCATTAAATATAATAAGAGTATTCATGTAAGCAAATTTGCTCGGGTTTATGTTTGTAAAACCAGGCTCATGGTAGAAGAGATAATTTATTTTCCGACAAACTCTGGCCTCTCTCATGTGATAACATATTTGCTGTTTTCTTATTTTAAGGATACTTTATATTAGCAGAAATTTATTTACTTTCTTGTTACTGCATTAGAATTATTTATGATATCAGCACAGCATGGAAAACAAGCACTTGCTCCCACTCTGAAATCCTTGGGCAGGGCTCCAGGACAGCTCTGAAAGCACTGTGCATGTTGTTAAAGTGAGAGTGGCAGATGTCAGCAACGTGAGTTTAAATTTTGTATTTATTAGGTTTCATATTAAAGCTAGTAATTTTTTAAGTATTTTTCATTTCTTTTTTATAGGACATTTGATCTAACTTGTATATGGATACTTAGCATTTGAGGAATATTCTACATCAAATTATTCAAATTTTAAACCAGGTCTCTTTTGGATCTTGTAATGCCCATCGATATCTCTTAAAACTAAGAATACCGCTAACTTAAACTATAAAAGGCATGGATATTCCTACTAGGTAGCCAGATTGTCACTGTATTCTAATGGAAATAATAAAAACAAATAAACATCCTAGAAGAGAGGGACAGGCTACAACTAGATCAAAACAGGATACAGAGGTGGGCAGATGAGAATAGGATAGGTTTCAGTACGGACAAGTGCAAGGTGTTGCACCTGGGGAGGAAGAACCAGCAGCATACCTACAGGTTGGGGAACTCCCTTCTTGTCAGCACAGAGGCAGAAAAGGATCTTGGTGTCACTATTGATTCCAAGATGAACATGGGCCACCAATGTGGGGAAGCGGTAGGAAGGCTAACCATGCCTTGTCATACATCCATAGATGCATCTCGAGCAGGTCCAAGGAGGTTATCCTCCCCCTCTATGTGGCACTGGTCAGGCTGCAGTTGGAGTACTGTATCCAGTTCTGGGCGCCGCACCTCAGGAGAGATGTGGACAGCATCGAGAGGGTCCAGAGGAGGGCTACTCACATGATCAGGGGGCAGCAGGGCAGGTCCTACGAGGAGAGGCTACGGGACCTGAACCTGTTCAGCCTCCACAAGAGAAGGCTGAGAGGGGATCTGGTGGCTGCCTATAAACTTGCCAAGGGAGACCAGCAGGCAATGAGAGAGTCCCTGTTCTCCTGAGCACTACCAGGGGTAACAAGGAACAATGGCCATAAGCTGACTGAGAGTAGATTCAGGCTACATATCAGGAGGCACTACTTCACAGTCAGGGCGGCTAGGAGCTGGAACCAACTTCCAAGGGAAGTGGTGCTCGCCCCTACCCTGGGGGTCTTCAAAAGGAGGCTAGACAGCCACTTAGCCGGGGTCATTTGACCCTAGCATCCCTTCCTGCCCATGGCAGGGGGTCGGACTTGATGATGTGCTTAGGTCCCTTTCGACCCTACCAGTTATCAAACTATGAAACTATGAAGTTTGCTCAAGAATTTTCAATTATGCTAGTACTCTTGTGAAACT